AATTCATATAAATTAGGAAGAAATTTTATGTTGGTATTATTATGAGAAAGAATTTGTAATTCAAGTTAACAAAATTATAAAAAATAGTAAAGTTGATAAGAAAAAAGTAAAAAAAATTATTTATAATAAAATATTAGAAGATCTTTCTATTTTTCATAAAAAGAAATCTGAAGATATAAATTTACAACTTCCAGAAATTTTATATAAATACTTGCAAGGAAAAACTCAGAAAGCTATTAAAATATACAAATTATTTGAAAATTTAAATATAGATAAAATTAAATATATCACAACTTATAATATCAATTCTATCTCAGAGTTAACTAATGATAAAATTAAAGAAATTATAGATAGTTTCTCCAAGCAGGAAGACAAGTCCCCAACTTCTGAAATTTTAGCCAGGACTTCCTATCAAAATTCTATTACCAATTCTTCCAGCTCAGAAATATCTGCTTATTATCTTATATATCAAATTTAGAAAATATAATAAGTAAGAATAACAAATTTTTACTGAAAACTGAAATCAAGATAAGTATATCTACTAAATTTCACATTTTTAATTCATTTAAAGCTGAAATAAATATAGTATCTAAAAAGATTTTACCAGAAAATCAGATAAGTATATCAGTATCCTCATCATATGAGAATAAAACTTGATCTTTAATTTTGATCTTACCTGAAGATTCAAAAAAGAAACAAAAACATATAATTAAAATAGTATTGAAAAAGATTCTTAATTTATCTTTTAACTATAATAATAAAAATATCAATTACTTTATTTATTTAACATTATGTTATATATATAATAAAGTTTATAAAAAGAAAAATTTAGAAGATAAGTGGAATAGTAATGATTATATTAATACAAGTACTTATTATCTCAGATATTAAGAAAATAAGTATTAGAATTCAATTCAAATAGTAACTGTAAAGATATAAGATTGAATAATATATAATTAGCATAAATCATAGCTAATAATTAGATTTATACTCTATTATTATATCCATAAAATATGAATTAAAAATTAATAATTAATTACTTTATTAATATATATTTTTCTAACATTTTTATTATTTCTTCTTATTAATCAATTTTATATTAGAAAATATTTGAATTATATATATTAACATCATTATTATTTTGAGATAAGGACATATTTGACAAATTAGATATTAAATTATTGTCAGAGTTGACTACTTCATGGCTAGAAATATTATTTTACACTTTATTTGTGACTTTAAATATGATAGTATCATCACTTTGTGAGTAAGATAATAATTAAAAAGATAGTATTTCAATCAAAAATAGATGAATACTAATGTTTTACTTAGAATTTTTCATATTAAGATTATTTATATTAGTATTATTATTATCATGAGCTAAAGTTAGATAGAGCAAATATTAAAGATAGCTCCTCAACTAGTTATGGCTTGCAATAGTTAATTAACAAATTATGACAGAGTTGTGACAGTCAATCAGAAAATTATGATAGAGTTGTGACTAGTTATAGCTTCTATTACTAGTAAATATCTTTGACTTCTATTAATAATAAATAAAAACCAGTTTATTTATCTAATAAAGAATCTTGTATCCAATACATATTCAACTTTCTCAATAAATATTGTTGGTATTATATTTTCTATATCTTTATTTTACCTATAATTTGAAATATTGATAATATGGACTCTATTGAATTCATCTTAAAATCTCTCCTAAAAATACAAACAAAATTTATCAAAGTATTAAACATCCAATCAATTTCTTTATACTTTACAACTATCTGTTATATAATTATATATCAATTAATTGATATGAATTATTAGCTATAATAGCTCTTTTTTCCTTATTAGCTCTCAAAAAAAAATATATATATATAGTATATAAGCTATAGATAAAGAAATATATTATTAATATTCTTCTGACTTCATAAAATTATGAGAAGGTGGAGATTTATAAATTTTTCTTTATATTAATATCTATTAAAGCTTATATTATGTTCTTGATTAATTCTGATTATAATACTATCTCAAAATCTGATTTAATTTCTTTCAAAATTATAATATTTTTCATTTCTATTTTTATGTTCATCAATAAAGATATGTATTCAAATATCAGTTCATTTAATTATTTTTATAATATTTATTTCAATAATAAAATAATATGAAAAGATAAAATTTTATTACTTTTATAAATATATCTTAAGTATTTAACAGTATTTTAGCAGTACTTCAATAGTACTTTAATCATACTTTAACTATATATCTGTAATTATATTAAGATATATATGCTTGATACTAGCTTTATTATTATATAATTTATTACTTTTTCAATCACACTTTAATATTATTTCAATTATGTTTTAACAATATAAATCTATAAATATTTATTTATATTTTTCATATAAAAATAGTATAATTAACTAAATACATATATTTTGGATTTGCATATCTCAGATTTGTCTATCTCAGATTTGTCTATCTCAGATCAGATGATCTCAAATAATAAGTGTCATACATTATATAGGTAAGAAATTAAATCATATACTTGTAATATACCTAAAATAAATTTTATGTGTCAAATATAGAACTTCTATAGTAATATTTTATCAAATTTGAATTAAAAATATCATGCAATAAAAAAATTTGCTTTATTATAATAATACATTAAAAAAAAAAGAAGTGAGTAGGAAAAATATATAATTTATTTGTTAGTATTGATAAAGAGAAAATAAGAGATATTAGATCATTTTTGACATCAAATATTTCAAACTTAAGTCAAGAAAATATTGATTATATAATAGTTAAAGTTTTAAAAAAGGAAAATAAAATATAAATGCTATTATACCATGTTACTATATTAGTAATATTGATATTACATCTGAATTTATATATTAATAAAATTATAATTCTATTATTTCATAACTATATGTAATATAATATAAATTATATATATTAATTAAATGATCTGATTTTTTGTAAGCTTTATTACTATTTAATTATATGTTTATATAAAATATATAATATCAAAATGAACTAACATTTATCAATTCATTAATTATTGTTAGTTATCTGTTATCTAATAGTTAACCTGCCTAATTATATGTAAATAAATTAAAATTTTAATTAGTCTTATCATATATATTACTCATAAAATATAATAAATATACATAACTTATCTAATAATCTAGATCTTATGAGATGCTTTTTGAGTATCTGTACTAAAATTGAATCTGATTTTAATCATATATATCAAATCAAATCTAATAGATCTAAATTTCTAAATACTATATAAATCATATAATCTCTAGTTATCTTATAACTGCTTTTAGCAAAAATACTATATATAATACATTAAATTACTTAATCATTAAATATAATTTATATAGATAAATATCCAGTTTTGAGTGATACTGAATAGAGAGATAATTGTTAATTTTCAGTAATTCATAAAGATGAAACTTTATCTAATTAAATGAAATAAATCTGAAATTAGTTAACAAATTATAAGAATAATAATTGTTTAGCTGATGATAAAAAGTGATATATTATTATCAGAAAGGTAAAATATTTATGGAAAGATAATCTTGATTATGCTGTTGAAGTAAATATAGCAATATATTATAGCTGTGATCAATTTGTTTATGTTGATAAAAGAATAGGATATGAATTATATTATAATTATAAGATGAAAGAACATTGGTATATAAATTATACTAGAAATAGACATTGTAATATAAGTTTCAAAGAATATATGAAACTTAAACAAAAACCAGAAGCTGAACGTGATATTTTCACAAGGTTAGCTATTCATCGTTATGAATTATAAATAGAAAATCTTATCAGCAGAGTTAAATATATTTGAGAAATAGCAAAAAAGATCTGAGCTATAAATATCATAACACAAAAATAGCTTGAATATATGTATAAACCCAATGGTCTCTGCACTTCAGAATTAGCATTACATTATCAACTATTATAGACCATTCAAGAAGAAATGTGACAAGTTAATAATATATAATACACATATCTATTTATTCGATTAATATATCTATTTATTATTTATATAACTTATTCATATATATATATCTTTAAAATAAAATCACCTAAGATATTCCTTGAGGACTAGTACTTTAGACTTTATTTCATTATTCCTGAGGGCTGGTAACATTTTTTACTTTGATTTTTTCATATCAACCTGTTTTATAAATCACAAAAATTTCTAGTATAGATAATAGATCATGCTTGTTATTTTTACATCACTCTTACTCCAATCACGTCTGGATACGGACAGCTTCTCAATAATATAAGAAGTGGCAGATAGATGTATTATATTAATATGTCAATAAATAACGGAAAAAAGAATTATTATTGTGATTATGATTTTTTGCGTATTGCAGTCTACATATATTAAATGAATCTATATCTATAAATAAGCAAGAAACAAATTATATCATGATGGATAACGATACTCAAGATACTGCCCCAATTTGTAATAGGAGATCAACTGTCGTGTTAAGAAAGAGTTGGATAATTTATCTCGACAATTGCTTGAATGCGATGAAAAAACTTTTGGCTCTTTTATGCAAGAAATTACTAAACAGCTTGAGGAGCAGGTTAATACTAATAATAAATTGCGCAGTGAAATAGAACAACAAAAAATAAAATTGCATAAAGTAGAAAAAATACTTGCATCTCTTCCCAATAATAAGTAGTAAGTATATCATGCTTTATTCATCTAATTTTAGAGGTGCATCCCAATCTTTCCTTATGTATAAAGGATTCTCTTTTGCTCTAGTTAAATCAATTACAATGAATTCTCGACCTTGGAGATTTTTATCAAGTATATCAACAACATTACGCCAATTTTTTATGTATCGCCGAGCAATGTTAACTAACTCAGTGCCCGCAGTTATTTTTAACCGTTCAAATGATCTTCTGAAAGGCTTGTGTGATAATCGATCTCTTATATCTAGGCAAGTGTACAACTATAACTACACGTAATGTCTTCCGTCTATACAAAAAATTGCTGACCTTGATTTAACACGAGAAGAAAAAAAATATTTACGCGTCCTATTCACTAATAAGCCTCTTATAAGAACTGAAGCAGAGAAAATTATTCCTACCTGTAACGACAATGAAGAGGTACTAGATTATTTGAAGGAACTTTTACAGCCTGGTATGTACGACGTATTCACATTTCGTAGAACCCGTTGCCACCTGAGAGTCATAGTCAATGCGATATGACTTTTTTTATTAGCCGTTATATTAATAATATCGAATATTTCAAACTTACATTGCTTTCATCACCTCCATTACAAATAGTCCAGCAATCAATACCTTCTCAAGATGCAGTTGCCGTGGATCCAGTAATTAACGAACCATCACTTTCATCTGAAAGGGTTGAGAAGCGTTTTCAGGTAAGAATGTGTCATTCTGAATTCCTTCGCCACTATGGTAATATTCAAATAAATTATTATGATCATCTTCGCATCTGTCCAGGAATCTGAGAAATCTGAAAATAATTTTACAAACTGCCGAAGCTATCGAAGAACCCGAAAAATCTGAGAATAATTTACAAACTGCTGAAGCTACCGAAGAATCAGAAAAATCTGAAAATAATTTACAAACTGCTGAAGCTATCAAAAAGACGTATATTGGTGAGCTCCCTAATAATCCAGTTGACACTCACTTACCCGAAACTGCTTCTGGTCTCCTCCGTTATTACGGTAAAGATTTGTAAATATATCACTTATTAGTAAGATCCTCTTCTTTATAAGTATGTCTTCATTTTTCATATCCTGGTAGAACTTTGGAACTGTCACTATACTAAATGGCCGGGCCTCAACGAGTATTCTGATCATTTACGTGATATCAGCAAAGATCGCGTACACCATTCGTTTAAAAAAGAAATCGAAGTATTACGCACGCTGTTTGCAAATGAACATCCAGCTCATCTTCGTCTTACACAACTGGAAAGCCAGCTAAAGGTGATGTATTGAGTAGGAAGAAATAGCCCGAGGACCGAATATCTTCGCAGGTCTTGTGCTTGTTGTGGCGAGCGAGCCATGTGCTTGGGCGGGAAGTTCTCGTTGATGAGTCAAAAATATAAAGTTTAGGCTCTTCCAGAGCGATATTGTGTCTAGTTAATATTTTAGTACAGAAGGCGGTATGCTTGTGAGCGAAGTGCGTCTTCGTGGGATGGGGTGCGTCCTCGTCTAACTAAAATATAACATCCGGGCTGTTTCTTCTTTATAGGTTGTGCTTTGACATGTTCAAGTTGTTGATTAACTAAACTTCAATCTTGATTTATCTCAGATGCGCCAATCTGCAAGAATGATAAAGAGAACAACTAGAAAACGAGTAGCCGACGCAACAAAACTACTTGCCAAAAAGGTGACCATAAAAAAGGAACTAGAAATTGAGGAGGATAGAGTTTTAGTTTTTTTTATTTTGAAATGTTTTTTGGCAGTTAGATAATCAACTTATTTCGCAAAAATGTTCCAGGATTCTGCAATTGTCAATGGATATCGTCGGATCAATAAACATTATGACAATTTTCACGAAGCAAGTACACAATTAGTTAAGCGTAAGCTATTGGCCGATAATGATTCTGATCATGGAAAAATAGAAGTAGAGGATTTAAAAAGGTGTCGACAACAATGAAAAATTCGATCTCATGTAGGAAAAGAATTGTTTTAAAAATTAGAAAATTTCGCTGTTAATAAACTTGTAGTGGTAAAATTATGAGATGTAACTTTTTTAGCATTTTATTAGTAAGACAACAATCAATCCGGCAAAAGAATTTTTACATGATTATTTTACAGATAAGTTCGATCATTAATCATGAATCTGACTATACAGAGTTATTAAAACATTTTCTTTACATGATCGTTATTCTTGATGTGGAGGGAGAGACGCAGACTTATCAGGTTTTTGTAACCAAGTACCCAAAAGTCATTATTTTTTTAGTAATCTGAAAAGCCCTTCTTGGCTATTGGATAAGTATATCATTTATCTACAAAAAATGCGTATGTAACTATACTCAAGATGATCTTTTTCGTACTCTATATATTGATACATTTTCTATCTTAAATTTAATAATGCTTATAAACAATATACTAAAAATGGTTTAACAAAAATAAATTACATTTAAAGTTTTAACTCTGCTCAATAAGACTCAATTCTCGCAGATGCTCTGGAATAACTACATATGGGTCTTCGTAATACCAAACATACCTTAAAACAATCCAGTTTTCTTCGCATAATTCTTTCTTAAGTTGATCCCGTTCCTGCTGTTTGATGAAATTATTGAGATCTCCTTTATGAAAGAATTTGATATATTTTTCATGTTGTTGTCCCTGTACTTCGATAGCAAATCCACAATCCGGATAATAAATATCTAGTTCTAATCCTATTGGATGCTCAGGTGTTTTCAAGAAATCTGGTCTACGATTTTCAGATGGTGGACCAAGATACTTTGTTACAATTTCTCGACATAATTGTTCGCGTTTATATTTATAACAAAACGGAGGTACCACTTTTCACATTACCAAGAGATGCTTGTCATAAATGGCCTTTGCAACACCATGATAATGGCAATTGATTATTTTTATACTCGGTTGAAAGGCATTGCCCATGTTTAGATAATGCAATTTGCTTCGCATCATCAAGAGTTAATTTCATACTACCTGCGCAATACGGACACCAACTTCCTTGTTGAATACTATTGGGAATAGCTTCCCATCTATGATTATTTTCGCAAATCCACTCTAATTTTGTTTGTGAATCATAGTATCGATCTGAGAGACAATTCCCATTTTTTATTTGCGCGAGCTTACGCATATCCTCTATTGACTGATATCGACCAATACAAAATGGACACCACTGTCCTCTATTTTTAATATTATCAAGTTTATTTTGCCATTGATGGTTGAATTGGCATCTCCAGATAAGCGGATCATTTATATTTTTATATTTAGTGGAAAGACATTCTCCATACCTAGATAATGCAATTAGCTTCGCGTCCTCAAGAGTTAATTTTATGTTACCTGCGCAATATGGACACCATGTTCCAGAGTTTTTTACTTTAGTAAGTGGGGCGGTCCAAATATGACCTTGATGGCATTTCCACGTCATTAGAGTATCTGAATTTTTATATGTGGTTGAAAGACATTTGCCATTTCGGCTGAATGCAATTTGCTTGGCATCTTCAAGAGTAAGACGGGCATTACCTGCGCAATATGGGCACCACTTACCACTTTTCACATTTCCAACAGATGCACGCCATAAATGATTTTCTTTGCAACGCCACAATAATAGTAATTGATTATTTTATACTCAGTCGAAAGACATTCCCCATGTTTAGAGAATGCGATTTCTTTGATATTCTCAAGAGTTAGTTTTACAGTACCTGCGCAATATGCACACCACGATCCGGAATTTTTAACTCTACGAAGTGGGGCACTCCATGTATGATTCTTAGAACAACGCCATATTAATGGGGTTTTATTATCTTTGTATTCAGTTGAAAGACATTTACCATCACGGGATTCAGCGATAGCATAAGCATCATTTAAAGATAATTTTTTCATTGCGAACAAAAGGTTTACTAGTTCTTAGATCTTGCTTTATTCTTCTAATTTCAAAGGAGTATCCCAACCGAGTCTAACTGCTAGTGGATCGTCTATTGCCTTAGTAAAATCAAAAACTATAAAATTTCGATTTCGCAAATGCTTATCAATAATCTTAGATGCTTTTTTTGGATCATCTGTATATTGATGTATGATTCTGCTAATATCGTCTCTAGACCCCGAGCCCCGGAATAAAGCTAAATGCGAAAATATTTTCACGAATTATTTTAGGTGTTTGTGTATATTTCTGTGACACATATATTGGCGAGATATTTTGATGTCGACCACTAATGAAATAAGGAATAATCCGTTCTTGTACTTTTTTCGATTCGGTACATAAATCTTCGAAAACGACAACTGTACTTCGCTCTGAAGAGAATTTAGTTATATCTGGAATTTTATCTGGAGATATCCTTTTGAGTGTGACATCTTCTCGATATGGTTTAGGGGCATTCGCAAAGATCTGAAAGCTATTTTGTACAAGTTGCCATTTCGGCTCAAAATTTTTGCCTATTAATACGAGGTCATCATTTTTGATATAATGATTTCCTTTCTTACCTTTAAACATTTGCTGTAATTTATTACCAAGCATAAGATTTATAATCATATTAGTTTTTCCACTATTGGATCCTCCACATACCAGTAATCTGAATGGGACATCTGGACTAAATTTGTTGCCTTTTATTTGTTCTAAGGATTTGTTAGATGTCTTGTCAATATTGTATACAAATATGAATATTTTTTCTTCTTTCATCCTGATTAAGCTAAGTAGTACTAATCTATTATATTGAAAAAATATTAATTAATCAAACCAGATAAGTATTTAAAGTTTTACTTTTATTCTATAAGACCCGGTTCTTAAAGTATATTACATAGCGAATATAAAATGACTAAACTTCATTCTGAATTTATAGTTTCAAATCTGATGAGATTTGTTTTTCAGAAACAGAGAGAGATTAATGACTATTTCAAAAAATTATTGCATATCAAAAAATGGCAACCAATATTGTGATAAATGATTTTTATTTCTTGCTCTGTATTGGATATAATGATAAAGGAGATCAATTAATACATATTAGATGGTTAATACGTGTAATACAGAAAGAATATGAAAAAGTTTTGTTAAATATCTCTCATGATATTACTAATAAAATTATAACACATCTTCAATATAAATTCAAAGACATTCTATTGGCATCAATAGTAAGATATCCAAATATCTCATCGCAGTTGAATTCAAAATATGATATTATTTAGCCATACTAGCTAATGAGATAGTATCAATTATCATGTTTATTAATATCTGTATTTTTCAAATATCTTTTTTTAAGCAATTTACTTTTGATATAGGGAAATAAGTCACATGTATATGATATTTCAATAAGATCTATACTTTCTCTTTTACATATATCTTGCTTTTTTTGGTCAAGTATCTGTTGACTGTCTAAGTTTATCTTGTCTTATCTTGCCTTGCTTATGGAATATTGAATTCTCTGAAAAATATTGAGGCTTCTGAAATTCATATATCAATTTTAGCTCTTTATTATACCTATCTAATTGTATCCCATTTAAAATTGATAGTTTACAAGATGAAAATTTCTTATCTAATAGATTCTCAAAAATATATTAAGCAGATTATTCTCCTTTAAAATAAGAATATATGAGATACTATTCAAATTTTCACTTCTGAATTTTATAAGATGCATATCATTGATAAAGTTCTTTTTCACAAGACCAAAGATATATATCTAAATCATTTATATAACTAGTTTTACCAAGATATTTTCTGTCATATTTTTTAGTAAATTATTAAGCCTTGACTATTTTATTAATAATACAAATAAAATTAACAGATCTGAAATGAGTATTTTCTTCCAATATACTTTGAAATGGATACTGAAGCATATTTATATTCACATGCATTAATTCTTCATATACAATTCACATGTTGATATGAATTCTCCATCTAAATAATATAAAATTGATTCATTTTTTATTATTATGATTTTGCAAATTTTATATAAAAAAGAGCTCAAATTTTATCTGTTACATACCTTTGATTTTCTATATCTCCTTCTTATTCTGTATTAGCAAGTAAGTAATAAATAGTATCTTTCTTTTTTAATTTTTCTTTATTTTTATCAACTAAATATTTGTATTTTGTAGATGATCTAGATTCTATCCTATTCAATCTAATTGTCTTTATAGATGTTAATTCTTATTTCTTTGAGTCTGATACTTGTATAAGTCATATTGGATAATTATTCAGATATTTAAAAATATTTGATAAATATTTAACCTATATTCTTATTAATTTAGAATTTTCAGATATAGTTTCAATAGCAGATTAAACTTTATATAATATCTTTGCTAATATCTTACAAAATCTATCTATAATTGCAAGATCTCAATAAGAATATGAATCTATAACTTAAATTATAATATTATGTATCTTCATTATTTTTGAAATCTCATTTATCTATTCATGCCTATTATTATATTGTAATAAATCAGATCAGGTAAGAAAAATGTTTGAATTATCATATATTTTCTTAAATGCTTTGATGACTTCTGAACTGTTTTTTATGTTAATAAAATAATCCATTTAAAATGAAATATGATATCTATAATAGTAAGTATAATCTAATGTAAAAATGTAGATACACGAATATACTATATATAAATTTTTTTTAAAAGTAAAATATTTATAATTTTAATTATTTAAAT